AAACACGTGTTTCCCCTCCATCCAACTTTCTCATAATTTGTTTGAGTTCCCGATAATTTAGGGCCCTTTTCTTCCTCTAACAGTCTTCTGTAGGACAGCTTCAGGTAATACAGTAAGTAAGAGCTGTAAAATTTTAATGATTTGTCCTATCAAGCAGTTTTCTTTCTGGTTGTTAGGAACTTGGACTTTCTTAAACCATGGAAAACTAGACAGAGTGTAAGTTTCATGCACTGTAAAGGTAGGTCCTCTACCTCTGTTAGAAATAATAATAATCATAAATTTCCGCCCCAGGGGCTTCCCCTTGTGTAAAATTATAAATCACTTGGAGGTGTTGGGAAATTATGTTTAATTGGAAAACTCTGGACATTGCCACACATCCTTCATAGCACTAAATCACACACACACACACACACACACACACATAAAACATAAAATATGCTGAGGAAAGATTCAAAATAATCTATACTGAGTGTACACATAGAGATTGGCAAATGTGTCTTTTGCAGGGAGGGGATCCTTAGTTATTTCACTCAGGTCTGATTCGGGAGCATCCCAGATGCCACTGGTTTTTATCATGGAAGCCCACTTATTATGCTTTTGAAGTAAGATTGTCCACGGCAGCTGGATTGCACATGAGAAATGTTGCAGGGAGAGATGGGGTTGTGCTGCTGTCCCCAGATGGTCTTCAGAATGTTCTCTGAGCAGATGTGATGTTTATAAGTTGTATACATTTTATACGTTTTTAATACATTTTATATAGAGTTTATACATGGATTTAATAAAAGTCTTAAAAATTTTTAAAGTTTTAGGAAGAGGGTGGCTCAGTCGGGTAATCAACTGCCTTCAGCTCAGGTCGTGATCCCGAAGTCCTGGGATAGAGCCCCGCATCAGGCTCCCTGCTCAGCAAGGAGCCTGCTTCTCCCTCTTCCCCTACCCCCTGCTCATGCTCTCTCTCTCTCTCTCTCACGTATTCTCTCTGTCTCAAATACACAAATAAAATCCTTAAAAAAATAAAAGTTTTAGGAAGAGATTGCCGACGTTTCTCCTATGAGTGGTAACCTGCCTAGCCGACCAGTCTACAAAGATTAATTTGACAGGGGAGCCTGGCTGGCTCAGTGGGGGAGCATGCAACTCTTGATCTTAGGGTTGTGAGTTCAAACCCCATGTTGGGTATGAAATTCCTTAAGAATAAAATCCTAAAAAAATAAATAAAATTGACCAATAATTTGTAAAAGTAGAAAGTAATGTTATTAAATTATTGTCTTACTAAAATGTGATAGAAAACATACATTTAAGTGTGCCAAATTTTTGTTAGGTAGAAGGCCTTGTCTCACCTGGTGGAAGGTTCTGACCATTTGACAAAGGTGGAAATTTGCTTTAGGACCCAGATAATGCCTAATTTCTCAAATCTGTGGTTTCTGCCCCCATATTCACCACAACATACAGATGATATGCTCACATAAATGGCGGCCTCAACAGACTACAGGCGATGTGTTCTTCCTGATCCCTGGACCATATTGAACTCCCTTTCTCCCCACCTAGAAAGCATGTCCAAATACTAATAATCGAGAGTGATATTTCAATGGGAATAACCTTGAATATGATTTCTCTTACGGTTACAAGGAAGTCATTTTTTTTTTTTTTAGTTTAACCTTTATAGTCAATGCAGAAGATCTTGGGCTATATTCTGGAGATTTGCAAATTCGCCATACCCAGGTTAATTCTTGGCCTCTGAATTAACATACCTATTTTGGAAGTGATCAAAGGGGAATATCTGCTGCAGTGGAAATGTCAACTTTGTCCATTTTCACACACAGTGTAGATGTTTTTTGACTATGTGAGCCCATTTACAACCCCGCCGTTGTTTAATTCTGCAGTTCTGTTTGTTGCTCTTACTTGCATCATGAATCCTACATGACAGTGGTATCATTTTTGCTTTAAAATAGTTAAGTGTGAAAAAAAAATAAAATAAGCATGAAAAAAATAGTCTTTTATACGTACCCACACACTTACCAAGCATAAAGCATCTCATTCCTTTTTAAAAATCCAAGTTTCCCGCTGGTACCCGGTCTTTCATTCTGAAGGGCTCCCTTTAGCGTTTCTTGTCGCCCAGCCCTGCTGGTGATGAATGCTTGGTTTTCTTTAATCTGAAATGTCTTCATTTCATCTTCATTCTTGAAGGGTATTTTCACCGGATATAGGATTCCAGATTGGCAGGCTGGTTTGTTTTCTCAGCACTTAAAAGATGACCTCCCACTGTTTCTGGTTACCATCGGTTTTGATGAGCACATGGCCGCACCCTTCGATGCTGTGCACTTTCTCTCCGCCTGCTTTCAAGGTTTTCTCTTTACTTTTCAGCAGGAGGACAAAATGTCTCTGGACATTTTGTATGTGTGTGTGTGTGTGTGTGTGTGTGTGTGCGCGCGCATGTGTGTGTATGTATTTAACCTGTTTCAGGTTTGCTAAACATTTTTAGTCTAAATTTATGTTTTTCATGAAATTTGCAATATTTCCTCTTTTTTTAAGATTTTATTCATTTCAGAGAGACAGCACAAGCATGAGCCGGGGAGGTCGGGTGGGGGGGGTGGCTGGGCAGAGGGAGAACTGGGCTCTCTGCACTCAATCCTAGGACCCTGGGATCATGACGTGAGCCAAAAGCGGACGCTTAACTGACTGAGCCACCCAGGCAGGCAATCAAGTTGGGATGTTTCAACCACTTTTCAGATTTGTTTTTGGCTCTATTTTCTCTCTCCTCACCTTCTGGAACTCCAAATACCATGCATTGTAGCTTTTCAAACTGTCTTAGGGACTGAGGCATGGTGTATTTTTAAACCATTTTTTTCTCTTTAAACTGAGCAATTCCTGGAACGCCTGGGTGGCTCAGTTGGTTAAGCGTCTGTCTTCAGCTCAGGCGGTGATCCCAGGGTCCCAGGATCAAGTCCCACATCGGGCTCCCTGCTCAGTAGGGAGCCTGCTTCTCCCTCAGTCTCTGCCTGCTGCTCCCTCTGCTATGCTCTCTTTCTCCCTCTCTGTCAAATAAATAAATAAAATCTTTAGAAATGAAAATTTTAAAAATTTTCTTAAAAATTGGATAATTCTTAAGCCTGGATCTTCAAATTCACTGGTTCTTTCCCACTTCCTAGTACCTTTCAGTTGTTAAACTCATCCAGCAAGATGTTTTTTTTTTTTTAATTTAGTATATTTGCCAGCTCTTATATTTTCTTCTTTTCATAGTTTGTATTTCTCTTAGATTTCCTGCCTTTTCATTTATTACAAGGGTATTTTCCCTTATAACATCAAACATCATTGTAACAGCTGCTTTAACGTTGTGTCTGATAAGTCCAACATCTGGAATTGGAGTTGGCATCCTTGGTTGTCTTTCCCTTGAGAATGGGTCACATTTGTCCAAGTGATGTGGAGACCCAAGGTCCTGTCCTGTTCATCCAAGAAGTGTTGGTCTTTTCCTTTCAGCAGGCAAGTAGCTCGGTGGGATGTAATGTGAAGACTGCCTTACAGTTGGTGGCAGCCCAAGCCTTCAACCAGTCTGCGTTGTACTTAATGGGGCTGTTTTGAGGCTGCTCCTCGCACCTGGGTCAGGGCTTATGAGAACTTGGGCAGAATTTATACGCAGAATTTAAGGCTCCCCTTCTCCAGCACTCGCCTTTCCAGGGTTTCCCTCAACGTTTCACACCTCGGTTTGCCTAAGCTTTGTCCTCCATTTGATCGAGCCAAAACACACGACAGGTTCCCTGTGTTTGAGCTTTCCACAGCACACAGCAACTCTGATCGGCACTGTGATAGACAAAAGCACGAAACTTAGCCTGGGTTTGTCCCTTGTTCAGAATTTCAGCTCTCCTCTTAAATCCTGCCTGCCTCTCTTTACTCACCAGAACTTACCAGTGGTGGGCTTCTTCTGTTTTATCCAGAGTTTAGAGTTACTGCCTATAGGGGGTTGGTCTGTTAGGAGCGTACAACTCCATACCAGAGACATAATCTTTCCAGTGGAGACCTAGATTTTGAACTAATGGCACCATTTCTCTAACTCAAGCAGAGATACAAGTCTTGGAAGTTTTTGTTAGAATTGCCTGTTTTGGGGAGCACCTGGGTGACTCAGTCAGTTAAGCGTCCAACTTTCGATTTTGGCTCAGATCATGTGCTCAGGGTCGTGAGCTCAAACCCCGTGTTGGGCTCCATACTCAACACTGAGTCTGCTTGAGATTCTCTCTCCCTCTGCCCCATTCCCAAGTGCTCACTCTCAAAATGAATAAATGAATGACTGCCTGTTTGCTGGTTTTTTTAATTCAAATAATTTAGATACCCCTTCAGTATCTTAAGGGGTACAGGTATAAAGCAAGCACCCAGATGAGAGTCAGAATGCATTGGCTCAAGCCTCAGTCTTTTTTTTTTTTTTTTTTGACAGAGACACAGCAAGAGGGAATACAAGCAGGGGGAGTGGGAGAAGGAGAAACAGGCTGATCCAGGGCTCAATCCCAGGACCCTGGGATCATGACCTGAGCCAAAGGCAGACATTCAAGGACCATGCAACCCAGGCGCCCCCTCAGTCTTTATTATTATTTTAACTAGCCATCATTGTGTTATGATTATCTAGTTATTATTAGCTAACTGTTATAATTAGCAAGTACTGTGAACTCCTGGCTTGTAGGCTGAAGGGCCTGGCCAGCCTCCAATTTCCTTTGTATCCTGGAGGCCTCTGATCGTCTGATCTAAGTGTCTTGAAGTCTCTGTGTTAATCCACTTCATAGGATTCAAGTGATTAATTTCATATATTACGTGGTGAAAAGGGCATCCTGCTGTTGGAAGATATGGCCATGTGCTACTGATAATATTTCCGCTTTTTATCTCTGCTTCCCTTAAAACTACACAACCCCTTCTTTCCCTTACGCCTCACTTTTTCTTGGGCACAAGTCATTCAATAACTGAAAAGAATTATACTGTTAATGTAACATCCCATTTAAAATATGTTTTTGTTTGTCTCTTAGGAAAAAATGCTGCAAAGGGTATAAATTTGTTCTTGGACAATGCATCCCAGAAGGTATGTAATATAAAAGATTTTGTCTTCTCACCTTGTTTGGGACTAGTCATTAGATGTCTATAAAGTTCAGATGTACGGAGGATATATGTGGTTTATCTATGTGTAATTTCGGGTTTTCTGGCATTAAATTCTCCTAGTGCCAGTTTGGCTACATGTAGCATGCTGTAGCTAAATAGTCACACAACTTATACACATATGTTGAGCATCCTCGATATATACAAACAATACACATGTGTTTCAGGTTTTAAGTTGCAGAGGCTCTATTTCCCTAATCAGCACTTCATACACAATTAGGACAGAAGCATCCTCCCACTTCCCTCTGTGCTTTTCATATGCTAAACTCAAAGCCCCTTCAAGCCCTGTGCCCAGCCGGCTCTAGCGAGATAGAGCAGGGTCAGACCTGGGCCCAGACCTCAAAGCCCACACCCACAAGCTGGGGAGACAGGGTATAGACAGCATGGAATCAGAGAGACCTGAATTTCTTTTAAAGACTTTATTTTTATTATTATTTATTTGTCAAAGAGAAAGGGGAGGCACAAGCAGGGGGAGCAGCAGGCAGCGGGAGAAGCAGACTCCCCACTGAGCAGGGAGCCCAATGTGGGGCTCTATCCCAGGACCCTGGGATCGTGACCTGAGCCAAAGGCAGACACTTAACCCAGTGAGCTCCCCAGGCGTCCCAAGAGACCTGAATTTTAATTGCACTTTCCATATTGCCTTAGTCCATTCTGGCTGCTCTAACAGAGATACTATAGTCTGGCGGCTTCAACCACAGATGTTTATTTCTTTTATAGTTCTGGAGGCGAAGTCTAAGACCAAGACCCTGGAAAGCTCCATGTCTGGTGTGAGCTTCCTGATTCATACTTAGCCACCTTCTTGCTGAGTCCTTGTGTGGCTAAAGGGGTGGGGGAGCTCTCTGGGGTTTCTTTATAAAAGCACCAAGCTCCTTCATGAGGCCTCCACCTCATGATCTAAGTCCCTCCCAAAGGCCCTGCCGCCTCAGACCATCACCTTGGAGGTTAGGATTGCAACATGTGAATTTCAAGAGACACAAGGATTCCATTCATAACACACATCCAGCTTCGTTTTTGTGGGAAAGTATTAGTACTTGACTCATGGTTGTTTTAAGAATCTTCCCACATGTAGGGTACTTGGAACGGAAGCCGGCTCTTATTAAGCGTTTGATGAATGGTGGTTCCTGCTGTTGTTTTTAATAATAACCATGACTTGTGTGGTGAAGGCATTCAGAGCAGCAAGTGTCTGGAGCGGGTACGGAGCCCAGAGGATCCAGGGCCATCCGAGGGGGTCTCAGGAAGGAGGGGGAGCCAGCCGATCAAGGAAGGCTGCCCAGGACCTGGACAAGTGGGAGGAGGAACGTTGCAAAAGATCCCAGCGCTGATCCAGAGAACCCTAAGAACTGTCTAGAAAGCGTGAGATTAGTTTGCCTGAGGCCGGGCAGAGGTGGGTGGGTATTGAGAAACGGGTCTTTTCACTCTCCAGCAAGAAGCTAGGGCTCCGCGGAGGACCAGGAGCCCAGCCAAGCCAGTTCCCGTTCCATTCTCTTACAGAGAGCACTTTCTTGTCTCAGTGAGAAATAAATGAATCCGCCCCCCCCCCCCCCCCCGCCCCGCCGTGTACCGCTCTCTTCAGGTAGAAGAGCTCACTGAACCATAGCTGGGACTTTTGAGAAAGCTGCTTTAGGAAGGTTGGTTAGGAAATCACTTTCCATAAGATGGTTTATGTGACCTCGGGGCTCTCTGCAACTGAATTTCTCACTGCCGGCCAGTTCTTTCGGTTAGAGCATGGTGGGGAAAAGGGAAAAAAAAATCCACAAAATGCACAAAAATGCAAAATAATTACATTCTTTTATAAGCCAGCTTTTCGCAGTCTGCAGCTGTGTCCTTTATATTTCCATTGGCAGATACTAAGAAAACGAAGTTTAGGCCAGTCTATTTAAGATCCCAGCTAAAGACCTCACCCGGCCTAAGTAAAAACACATTACACGGGTACCACCTACTTAGGGTTTCTTTTTTTTTTTTTTTAAGATTTTATTTATTTATTTGACAGAGAGATCACAAGTAGGCAGAAAGGCAGGCAGAGAGAGAGGGGGAAGCAGGCTCCCTGCTGAGCAGAGAGCCCGATACGATACGGGGCTCCATCCCAGGACCCTAGGATCATGACCCGAGGCGAAGGCAGAGGCTTTAACCCACTGAGCCACCCAGGCGCCCCTATACTTAGGGTTTCTTGAAATGTTAAGTGTTGTGGCCTCAAACATCAGAGCCTAAAAGTAGTGTCCCCTCCCCCTCAGCAGGGCCTGTGGTGCCTGTGAACAGCATAGCCTCGCCATAGCTAACACTCTTACTGGCCTCTGTTGCTGTCACTAGAACACTTCAGCGTTTTCATCTGCGGGAATAAGTCTGTGTGTGTGGGCTTCTTACCGAAGATCTCTGTAGTCCTAAAGATTTCCACTAGCAAGAACGCCACGTACCGATGTGGAACTTCAGGAAAGAGAGCATATCCGTTAGGAATGTCCAGAGAAACAGAGAGAAGCTTATTTAAAGGAATTAGTTGATGAGATCGTGGAGGCGAGCAACTCAGAAGTCCATAGGACAGGCTGGAGACCCAGAAGAAAGTTCCAGTTGGAGTCGAAAGGCCGTCTGCCTCCGAAATTCCCTCTACCCTGGGGGAAGTGGGGTTTTTTTCTAGGAAGGCCTTCACCTGATCGAATGGGCCCACCAACATTTTGGAGGGCAAACTGCTTGTTTCAGACTCTACTGAATTAAATGTGGATCCCATCTAACAAATATCCCCACAGAAACATGTAGACGATGGTTGACCCAACGTCTGGCTACTGTGGCTATTGTCTGTAGCCACATTGACTCGGAAGATTAACCCCTGCAGAGAGTGCGGAGACTGGAATTTCTGAACAAGTGTGCTGAGGAGAAGGGGGCAGTTTAAGACTGTTGTTGCCTCACATGTGTGTCTCCAAGTCAAAAGTCAACCACCCTGGGCCAGATCGGACCCACTGGCTATTTTTGTAAATAAAGTTTTATTGAAACACAACCATACTCCTGCACGTAAGTATTATCCATGGCTGCTTTTGCCCCGCCACTGCAGAGTGGAGGAGTGGTTTCCAGCCAGATCTGTTCTGCCAAGCCCCGCTGTATTGTTTTGATTTGCCAGGTGATAGGATAATCTGATTTGTTCTAGCTCAACAGTTATTAATGGAGCATAAACTGGGGGAAGAGAGTAGTGCCCATCCCTCCAGGGTACACAGTCCTTGCCAGATACCCAGACAACAGTAAGAGCTACTCATAAAGGAAGCAGAGGACCAGGCTGAGCTTTTACTGTGTGGCGGGCACCGTGCGGAAGGCATCATCCCAGGTAACCTTCATAAAAGCACCATAAAGGCTGTATTACTGCCACCATGGTATATAGGTGAGAGGATGAGGCTGAAAGGACTCAAGGTCACAAAGAGAGTAGCAGGGTCGGGAGGGCTGGCTGCAGAACCCATACTCCTCCCCATAAAGCGGCATGCCTCCTAGCCTGCAACAGAGTAGGCCTTCCAGAAATAAGGCAGAACATAGGAGCAAGAGAAAAATACAGAGCACAATACATGCGCTGCTTAGGGGCCCCTGGGTGGCTCAGTCAGCTAAGCACCTACCTTTGGCTCAGATCATGACCTCAGGGTCCTGGGATCAAGCCCTGCTCAGCAGGGAGTCTGCATCTCCACCCCACCCTCCCTCTCTGGTCTCCCTGTCTCAAATAAATTTTTTTAAATCTTTTAAAAATAAAAAAAAAAAAACCATTGGCTCCTTAGAGGTGATAGTTAGTGGAGGAAGCCGTATTTGACTGGCAGGAAAGCAGACGTGCCATCATCACAGTTTCGGGGGAAAGGATTTAGCCGGGGCAGCCTTCCAGGTCCTCATGAGAGCGGCACTATGCCTGCCACAGGGAGGCTGGCCAACCCACCCATTCCACCTTCCCGTGTGGCGGAGCAGACCAGGCCTAGCCCGCGCCCGAGGATCGTTCATCTGTCAGCACCCGGGGAAGCCAGCACGGGGACTGAGATGCTGGCTCTAGTCCAGAGGCCAAGGCTGCGCAGCCTGAGCTCCTGACTTCCAGCCAAAGTCCCTTCAGAGGCTTGTTAAATATCCGTTTGTAAGGACTGGGAGGAGGAGATATTTTAATTCTCTTCAAGTCGGAGGCCATCCAGAGATCTCCAGCCGTTTCCAGCCCCTCCTTAGCATGCAGGGTCCACACACACGCACACTCAGAGACAGACACAGGCATTAGCCCTGCATCACTCACACCAGCCCTGTTCCAGAACCTCCCTCCCGCCCCTCCTCGCCTACGTGACCTCCACTCCTCGAGCTCTCCGACGGTGCCTACGCCCCTCACCAGGGCCCGCTGTTCTGTGATGTGCATCTGGAAAAAGTTCCCTGTCTCTACGGCAGCTGCTGAAAAAGCCCAGACAGGCCTGCAGGTGCTGCTGCAGGACCAGGGGCCATCCAGACGAGCGGCGGACCCCAGGGGATGAGGAGATGGCCCGGGGGAAAATCGCAGGGAAGGGGGTTTGCCTTCCACCACGGCCAGCCTGAGCACCAAGCTCCCAGACGCAGTACTTTTAGAAGGCAGCCCATGGCCCGAAGGCTTAATGCCCTTGTAAACATAGCTGGGCACGTCCACAGGCCCCAAGGGGAATGCAGCCCAGGAGGTCTGTGCCAGACCCAGGCCCAGCGCCGCCGCCCCGTCTGCAGAACGACCGTGGCTGACGTGAGCCCACCCTTACCCTTGTCTTTTTCAGATTACGACGTGTGCGCCGAGGCCCCCTGTGAGCAGCAGTGCACGGACAACTTCGGCCGAGTGCTGTGCACCTGCTACCCGGGGTTCCGGTACGACCGGGAGAGACACCGGAGGCGCGAGAAGCCCTACTGCCTGGGTGTGTTGGCAGCACCCGTGAATGTTCCAGCCCCTGGGTCGTTTCCTGGAGACACTCCATCCCTGGGGCCAGCTCCCCGGGCGGCTCTGGTCTGTGTTTCTTCCCTTATGTCCCGACACTCAGAATCACACCAGCGGTCACTGCCTTGATTGAACCAGCCTCGGCCGAGGAATTCTTCCGGGAGCTGGTACCTGCGAGATCCCAACAGGCAGTGAGCTCGGAGGGCGGGAGAAGGGGAGCATTAGCAAGTGAAAACAAGAACAGTGTCAAACGGGATATAAGTGGGCAGAAACGTCAAAACACGGACAGGCGAGACCCCACATTCTCTCGGAAGGCCAGGCAGAGAGACCGGGGACGAGGAAGGGCCCATGTGGCAGGCAGACTGGCGGGGAGTCAGCCCTGTCGCTCACCGCTGGCCGGGTCCTTCCCGCGCTGGCGGGGCTGTCCGGGCGTGCCCTCTTCGCCTGGAAGACGGGCTGATGGTGATGGTCCCCTGGAGCCACGTTTCCAAGTGTGGTCGGTCCGTGGCCAACCTGCCTCAGAAGCATCTGGGGTCCTTGATTTCCAACAAGATTCCCGGCCTCGCCTCCAGGGCCTGAGGGTAGGTCCAGAAATCTGCACTTACACAAGCACCTCTGGTGACGGCGTGCGCAGGCGAGCTGGAGATTGAGCTGGACGGTAGCTGAGGAGCAGGCGGGGGGTCCGGGTGGAGACTAAGCAAGCTGGGATGAGGCTTTAGAGCACCCCACTGGACACGTTCTAGACGTGGGCCTCCTAGGTCTCCAGGTGGCACCGATGGCAGCTCCCTGCACTGACAAAGAGGGGTGAGACCACCAAGTGGCTGGACCTGGGACCCGTGGCGCCTCCCACAGGGAGCATGGTGCCCCACGCTGTCTCGCTGAGGTCCCAGGCATGGGGGCTCTGCTTTCAGTTTGTGGGAGCTCTGGTGTCACACTTAGTCCACAGGTGACAGTGCCTACTGCCAGGGGACCTTCCAAAGGACCACACCCCCTGGCGTGCCGAGGTGGGTCCCAGGCAGCTGGTCCAGAGAGGGGCTGGGGCGTCATCCGCATCCTGAAGTGCAGGGCTGAGCTCTGTCTGCCCCCCTCCCCAACATGCACACAGGACTGAGTGTCATGTCCGTCCCCCTCAGCCCCAACCCCTGATGTCTTCAACCAGGGAGCAGGAAACAGACCGGGGCCTCCCTCTTTTCCCCCCTGGGAAACAGTTCCCCATTCCACGGGGGAGCAAGTCTGTGATGTGCACGGTTTATGTGGACTCTGACGGGTGACTTGTTTGATGGTCTCATGGCTCGTTTCCACCACTCACGGGTGGTTCGTCTGGGTCATTGATGACCCCAGAATTTCCTGGGGAAAACTCTCCATTAGATCCATTGTGACTATTTTCTTTAGCCAGAAGTGGCTTTTCTCAGATTTCGTTACATTTCTTAACTGGGGAGGAGCCATTCGTAACTGACCTTGGGTCACCATCCAGCTGCTCTGAACCTAGAGCCGTAAAGGTGGGGGGGTGGGGTGGAGGAGACCAAAAAAAAAAAAAAAAAAAAACCCTTAGCCCACTCCAGTCCTTGCAGAAAATCATGGCCCCCATGCTTGCTTTTCAAACAGTGTTGCTCTCTGTCCACTCATTTCCTCTTTTGAGGAGCCCAGCCAAGTATTTCAGGCTGGCATCATGGTCATGTTTTGTAGATGGGAACTTCGAGGGCTGGCAACACTTGCACCAGGCCACGTGACATGGCAGTGGCAGAGCCCCGACCGGAAAGCCTGTCACTGATCAGCCTGGCACCATGGTGACACGGCCCGGGGCACTCCAGGTGCGCTGGCTCCTGTCTCTAGCGTCCTGCTCTAGAGCAGCCTTCCCTGACCAAGGCTGGCAGAGGGTCCTTTGCAGACATTCGTCATGGGTCGTGTGGGAAGAGAGTTCTCTGAACTAGAGCATTCTCTGCCTTTGGTCCAAACCCAGATATCGACGAGTGTGCCACCAGCAACGAGACGCTGTGCGCGCACACGTGCATCAACACCGTGGGCAGCTACCGCTGCGAATGCCGGGAGGGTTACATCCAGGAGGACGACGGGAGGACGTGCACCCGGGGAGACAAATACCCCAATGACACTGGTGAGTGGGGCAAGCCACGTTTCCCCATGGATATGCCCTTGGGAGCCCACCGGGGTGGGCTTTCAGCCACTGACATTAATTCGTGGGCCAACTTGAAAATGAGCAACAAGAAAGGGAGCAGTGGGCAGGGAGGGGCGTTTGCACGAAGGGCAGGTGGGACCCGGGTTAAGAGAGGGGTGGGACACAAGGTGGAGCCCCGGTGGAGTGAAGCTGGCAGTGAGGGTTGTGAGCTGGTGTGTATTTGAGGAAACTCTCCACCATGCGGATGTGTGTGCTCAGGTGGAAATCAGTAGAACTTAGCTAGGTGCTGGGACCACACTCAGATGAGCAGAGAGGAGGCCAGGACGCCGTGTTCTCTCAGAGAATGGGTTGACTATCAATAGGAAACACATCCGTGTCAGGTCCACGCATACATCAACGCTGCCTAACATACAGCCCACGCTCTGTGCCTGCCCAGAACTATTTGTTACTTGGTTTCTGATTGCATAAAAACAGAAGTTGAGTGTTCAGGCGTGTTTATACCCATTTGTAGACACCGATCCAAAGATCAATGCTTGTATTTTGTCGTCTTTTACTAGTCATTGGTTTTCATTGTGTTTTGCAAATAGTCAAGTGCAACGAGGTTAAAAGCTGGCCTTCGGAGTTTGAAAAGCTGATCCACATTCCATCATCCCGATCCAACTGACATGTCTCTCACCCAGGGAAATGATCAGCTCGAAGGCTGGGTCATTCCTTTAAGTCTGGAAGAAGGAGCCTCTGTGCTCCTGTATCCGACACTCACAGGGCAGGAAGCTGCTCCCATCTTCCTGTGCTCGGGGCACAGCTCTAACCTGTCCCTCTTGGGAGGGGACAGGATACTGTCTGTCCGGAGAGGCTGGCTGGGCCTTGGACTCTCTGAGTGGGGCAGGGATTTCTGGGCAAATCATCTGTACTGAGAAGCCAGGGAGCTGGGAAGGCTGAACGGTGTAGACACTCGGGAGAAGGTGACTCTTGGGTGTAGCCCGAAATTTCGAAAAAAAAAGTGGAGGACAGTTGCCATCAGCTGAGGACAGCAAACAGCTGGGGGACAGCTGCTCACATGGAAAAACTACAAAGCAAAATTCTGAGAAGGGGCGGGTTGAGTCATGAGGAAGCCACTGTGCATTAGAAGTAGAAGCAGAATGTGTCTGGAGCCAGCTCAGGATTGGGCAATCTGGAATAATATAAATGCATCAGCGGGCCTGGGGACACTTCTTCAAGTCTAAAGCATGTGGAGCCTGCCTGCCCAGAGGTGCTTCGAACAGAGACGAACAGTCTTTTGGGTAGAATGGTTGATTGAGGAAAAATGTTTGCAGGCCTTTGTTTTTTTTTAATTCAAAATTAAAGTCACTTCATTTTTGTCCCGTGATGGAGAAGGTGGGAGAGGGGCAGGGTGTGGAGCTTACCTATTTGATTATCTCCTTTGATGAGAGGAGATAATTCTTTGAAAAATAAAGTGCAGCCTTTTCGCCACTGACTTAATTCGTGGGCCAACTTGAACATGAGCCACAAGAAAACAGCTTTCTAGCTTTCATTCTGGGATTGGATTTGCAGCTCTGCTCCGAGCCAGGAAGCCCAGGGACTGTGCAGCCGACTCCACTGTCTCTCTGCCTTACGCTTCTGTCCAGGTGAACCCCGTTTACTTGGTCACGAAGGGCAGCGTTGAACAACCCAATCTAGACGTTAACCCTCAGAAACTGCAACCACAGATGCTTACTGCTGGAGTGTCGGGGTGGGATTAGATAGGACGGATCCCCAAATAACAGGACCTAGCCTCAGCCGTGAGCGGTTCCCACTTGGCGCTGGTCTGCCCGGGCACCAAGCCTTTACCTCACAGAGAACCAGAGAAGCCGGTTGGAGCTTTCCAAGACAGCATGAGAGTTTCCCACTGAAATGTTCTTTGGTCTGGGGTGGCCTCTTGCCCGAGCACAGTGATAAGGTGGGCCCGGTCAGAGCCACTCACCCTCTCCCTCCTGCTTTGGCCATGTAGACCCGGGCGGGGGGTCCAGCAATGAGCCGGGCCGAGAAGTTCTCCTTGTGTCTCTGAAGTTAGCCGTCTGTTGTGTTAGGTCAGTCCTCAGAACGCAGTCCTCTGCTTCCTTCCCAGAGAAATGACTTGTACTACTTAAAAGTTTTTAGTGTGTTACACTAAACTACACAAGAAGTTTCAGTGTGAGAGAGCAAGTTCAAGAGATCAGGAATTTTACTTTAGTGATGAGCGGTGACTTCTCTGGCTGAGAATTCTAGGAAAAACTGAAGTAGTTGTAATGAGAAGGAGTTGTAGACCTGCAACTTTCTTTTGTACCATCTATCATAGTCTTTTCACTTAAAGATGACCTATTTTCTCCCAACCGTTTATTACAGCCTTTCGCCATTGGGTTCTACAGAGCTTGGGGTCTTATGAGCTGCAAATAAGCCTTCCTTTCTTCCTTTCTTTCTTTCTTTCTTTTTTTCTTTTTTTTTTTTTTAAGACTTTATCCATTCATCTGACGGAGAGAGAGCTCAAGTAGGCAGAGTGGCAGGCAGAGGGAGAAGCAGCTTCCCCACAGAGCAGGGAGCCCAATGTGGGACTCGATCCCAGTACTCTAGACAGTGACCTGAGCTGAAGGCAGACGTTTAACGACTGAGTCACCCAGGTGCCCAAGCCTTCCTTTCTTTAGAAGCATCTGTGTTCAGATGTTTGGGGAAGAACACGTTACTACCCCCACTTAGGGGTCCATGGGTCAAGTGCATGAATGGCTCAGAGAGACTGCCTTTTTCAAAGATGTTAATTTTGATTAAGCCTGAAATTCCCCCAAATTATTTTCTTAAGAAAGGCCTATAAACATCTCACAGACAAGAGTGCCCTGAAAAATACAATTTGGAAAATTCTAGTGTATTAACCTCAAAGGCCTGAGCTCTGGGGTTGAACATGGTAGGTCGTCTGGTTGGCTTTCAGGCAAAGATGTCTTCATCGACAGATGAAGCAGCCGAAAGTCCAGAGGGAAGCCATTTGCTGCGGATTGCAGAGCCTCTGATGAACAAAAACAGGGCAGGAGTCCTCCATCCTGCCACACGGAGAGACCGTTTGTTCCTGTTTACAGTGGCTTCAGTGGGAGACGTCTGTCTAATTAGCAAGAACCACCTGGTGCTTCTACCGCTGAGCTTTATTGTCGCACAAAACTCATTTACAGATGAGCCTAGGCTGCAAATTCCCTTTCTCCTCTCTCTCTCTCTCCATCCTTCTCTTCATAGAACAGCTACAAACAGTTTAAAAAACAAAACAAAGCCAAAGCTGAAACAGCACTGTCTGTTGGCTCACACTCCACCACCCCACCCCCCACGTCCCTGGGCCGCTGACAACAGCATTAGAAAAAGAATTTCTCCCTATTTTTCAGTTACCGGTGTCTATTGAGTTCACCACACACGCACATGGGACGAGCATTTGGTTTTAGTGTTTTGCTAAGAAAAACATTCCAACACCAGTAACCAAGGACGTCAGGAGGGAAGGGACAGAGAGGAGGAATCCAGACCCGTCGTTAAAATTATGAGCAAGGACAGGCACGTCGTAGGCCGTGAGTGTGAGAGTCCTAACTCGAGCGATGAGCCCCCCCAGAAGGTGGGGAGTAGCTTTGATGGTGCTGGCAACAAAAGCAAGCACCCTGGACGCGTTGCTTTGACAGCGATGCCCTGGAACATTCCATGGCCTGGGGATTAGGAGAGCTGGCCACAGGAGCAGCTGCGGTACTGACCATGGAGCGTGGCTGGGCAGGTTCCGGGCCCCCGCTGCCTGCTCTGTAGACAGAACAGGAGTGTCAGACTGTGTGAGCTCTGCAGACCCGCTAGCCCTCCCGTGTTCCTTCCAGAATGTGGTGGGGTGTAGCCTGAGTCACCTAAGCTTGATCAGCCCCAGCACCGCCCTCATTTCTTTGTCCTCCATCTAAGTGAGCCCCAAGGCTCCAAGAACTAGTTGATGCCCAGCTTCAACAGCTAAGCCGAGAACTTCCTTACCGTATCTAGAAGATGAATCAGGACCAGGCAGATTCTCAGCTCAGCAACCGAAGTCAGGGGCCAGGCAAGGCAGCTAAGCAGCTTTGTCTGTTTTGGACGGATTAATAAACCTAATATTTCATCGTGGTTATTTTTTTGATGAAGAGATAATGATGATTGAACGTGAACACATGGGACCTAAAATCTCCCTCCCCCCCTTTTTTTTAACTTTGCATTGTCTAATGTCTGTGACGTTATAGTCAGAGGAATTTAAAATCAAACACAGCCTCCGCTCGCTGTTAGAGAGCGGTGGGGGGGTGAAAGGTTGTGGTGCACACAGCCCCCAGCTACCCGGCCAGCACGGCGCTCTCGGTCGCTTGCTTGCTTTGAAAATATGTAGCTGGAGCCCGTGTAGACACCCCAGGGAGTCTGTGCAGCACTGATGGGGAGACAAATTAGGGACACGTTGGCTCCATAGTAATGAGCTTACTGCCCTGTTTTTCAACCTCTGTTTACTTTCTGATAGAGCGACCATGACCCTCGGGCAGTTCAAAGCTTCTGGGACGGCCAGGTGTTTCATGTAATTTTCAAGCTCTGCTAATCCATAGATCAGTGGTTCTCCACCCGGGAAGCTTTACAAATTGCCAATACTGTTCCCTGGCTGCAGCCCCCAGGTGGGTGGGGTGCGACATAATGGGTTTTTTTTTTAACCTCCGCCCCCTCCCCCCTTCATATGGGGGAGGTTATAATGGGCCACCAGCATTGAGAACTGCTGGCCAGGGCACAGTCCTCCACGGTCAAGTTTTAAAAACAAACAAACGCTGTTCATTGGTGACATTGCTCATGTCCAAGGTATTGGGAATATCGTTTAGTTTCTGGATTTATTGAAATATTATTAATATGGTATCTGAGGAATTCTTTTTCTAATGCTGTGGGGTGCCTAGCCTGCTCGGCATTAGTAAAAATTAGAGCTCTATGCCCCCATGTGGCTAATGAATGATAATGCACCTTTAAAATCTGATCTGGTGGGAGCAGAGTGTGGAGTCAATCCTTCACTTAAGGTGAGCGTGGTCACAGTTCGAGATGCTCGGTGATCGCAGCATGAATTGCCAGGACTGAAAACATGCAGGATCAGAGATGTCTTCCCAGATTTCTAAATGAATTATTAACATAGTGTACACGAGATTCTTTTAGCTCCACGTTTGATATTACTGTAGACAAATTGCAGGATAAATGAGCCCCAATTCAGAACAGATCGCATGTTCCAGGCCTACACACACAATTTATCTTGGAGCTGTCTGAGAGCTCTTTCCAGAGGATGATGTAAAGAGCCCTATCCCACATCTGTTACTTTGTAGGAAATTCAATACTCCCAACAATAACACTTACGGAGCACTTGTCATGTACTGGGCACTGTCCTAGGAACTTACAGGTCTGTCTTCTTTGCTACTATGGCAGTTACCCAGGTGATAAGTGCCTTTGTCATTTTACTGTTGGAGGAACATACCCAGAAGCTGTGACTTCCAACCTAAAGGATACTAAGTGACAACATCAGAATTTAAGCACCGATCATAGGACTCCCTCAGAGCCTCTGCTCCCTGCTACCCTGTTACTCTGTGTCTACAGAACCGACACAGTTCATCTTGATGTCTGTGTTCCAAAGATTACATAAAGTGATGGAGAACAGACAAGGCGTTCTCGGGTCATAGTCCCTCCGCAAAGCTTACTCCCTGGGGGAGTGCTGGCTGAGCACACGTGTGCTTCAGCATCCCATGGAGGGCTTTGACAGATCTGTGCACTTGGCCCCAGTCCCAGGATTTCAGATTTTTGGCAACAGATGCCTGGGCAGTGACGGTGCTGCTCCTGGTCAGGTGGTCACTCTTGAGAACCACTGCCCCGGAGTCTGCCTCCCAGAGAGCACTCGGGGACCCTGAACAGAACACCCCATAGCCAGCTCGCTGCCCCACCCCAATGCTGGATTCAGGACCTGTAAGGCCCCAGCCTGTGCACACAGCCCTCTGGAGGGCCTAGAGCAAGTTACTTTCCTTATCTATAAAGGAGATTGAACCCAAAACACATCCATGCTAATATTCCATGATCTAAACGAAGTAGAGTCTAGAACCTGTAGGGAGGTTTATTCTAATCATGAATATCTCGGGTTGCTTTCATCACACCCACACTTGGAAATTCAGCTGAGTATATAGTAAGTATAGTATATTTCTGAGTATATAGAAATAGGAAGATAGGCTTCTAACTTGTGTTCATGATGGTCGGGCTCTGCCAACAGGGCTAGTTCCTTACAGAGGTCAGTCACAAATTGTTAAGCAGGTGTTCTCATCTGTTTTTGCATTCTCAGTGCCTCATGTGGCCTGGCAAATAGCAGACACTCCATGGGTGGACGAGAGGGGGAATGGGGAGGGTGGACGAGTAGATGGACGCACAGACAAGTGGATGAGCGAGAGAGGTGGGTTATGGGATGGGATTGTATAAATCGACCAGTAGATGGGACGGAATGCAGGAACGCTAGGTTGGCAGAGATGGACGTCCTCCAGCCATCCTTCAGCACTGACAAACCTAGTCAGCCTGGAGCCAGGGTCCCCTATTTATGCGGGGGTCCACCGTTCCCTGCCATCAGCACAACCAGAGTTGGTGGGGCTGCCGGTCTTCCCCGCCTAGTGAGCTCTGCATGGAAATGTCCTCGTGTCCCTCAGTTATGTTGGCGACGGATCCTCACAGAAGCCCAGGCTCTGGGCAAGTAGGACTGTTTGGCACACTACACAGGGACAAAGGGCCCAGAGGAGATTGCCTAATGTGTAGAAACGGTGTTGGACTCAGATTCAGGAAACCGCAACTCTAAACCCACATCAGTCAACTTGCGAGATGACTTTCAGGTACCAAATGTCTGTTTCCCCTCATTCTGTTCGTGTTAATACTCTCTTTCAAGACTTCTGGGGTTCCCGGGCAAAAGCAAAGTGAAGGGCTGGGTGGTCTGAAGCCTGGGCCAGGCACGGGCTCCCATTTATTACCGGCAGGTGGCATGGCCGCTGTCCCACAGGCAGGACCTTCATTTAACCCTCACAGTCACCCTCCACTACAGGAATTATTCTTCAATGTTATGGTTGAGGAAATTGGGGCTTGTCGAGGTCAGATAGCTTGCCCAAGACTCCTGAGCTAGTCATGCCAGAGCTGGGCTGCGCAGCGGGGACAACAGCCCCTGGGAAACCACGCTCTTAACCAACCCAGTTGACCTCCTCCAAGCAGAGACCTTCCCCAGCCTCTTAGCTCAGTGTTACACAGCTGCGGGGGGAGTCAGCGTGACTCCCTGAGTGTACCAGCTGACCGCGCTGTCGGTGGGGAGCCCCCGACCAGACAGCCAGCCCAGGAAGCGGGGATGAGTGGGGCAGTCACGTTACCCGGTGTCTGTAGGTGGATTTAGAGACGGCCGCGCCCCATAGATCCACGTGCTCTTTCCAGCCACTCGAAACCTGCGCTGTAGGTTGACTGGTTGACCCAGTTGCTTACGGTAACTTAAAGATGGAGTCTGCTTTCCCCACTCAAACGGGCTGGCTTGAGAAGTGTGTTCCCAGTATGGGTACTCCAAGCCTCGGGCCTCCCGTGACATGCAGGGATGAGGTGTGGCGGGTGAGCCCTGCACCCGTGCTGCAGGTAAATAGGCAAGGATTTCAGTCACCAAGTTGCCTGCAGACCCCGTCCCCTCCCAAAGAACAGAAACACTGGTCACCACATAGGTCACCAGGCAGGGGACCTGCACCATGGGAGAAACCAGCCGGACCACGTGGGGAGGGTTCATGAGAGCATGAATGCCCAGCTCGTCTATCCGTTCTCTAGCTCTGCCGCAGACCGTCACCAGCTGGGTGGCTTCAAGGACAGAAATGCATCCTGTCCGTTCTGGAGGCTACAAGTCTGAGACCAAGGTATCGGCAGGGTTGGTGCCTTCTGAGGGCCGTGCGGGACAATCTGTCCCGTGCCCCTCCCTGTTTCTGGGGCCTTCGCCGGCGATCTCTGGCCTTCCTTGGCTCCTGCCCTATTGCCTAATCTCTGCCCTCATCTTCATGCGGTGGCCTCCCTGAGTGCGCATCTATGTCTCCTTTTTCTACGAACACCAGTCCCGTTGACTGTGGTCCCACCCTGCAACAGTAGGACTTCGTCTTATCACACCACCCACGACCCTATTTCTGAATAAGGTCACATTCTGAGGTCCTAGGGGTTAGGGCCTCAACATACGAATTTTGGCAAACAGTTCAACCTGCGACACTCTGCCTCACACGTAGCACGTGCCCTCCTCGTGAGCTCCCCGCAGGTCCAGGTCTTAGGTGGCTTGCGCTCTGGGGTGGGCAGCCACTCCGCAGGTTGGCGTAGAGACCCTCGCCGTCTGAGCGGACACGTGGTGAGTGTGGCCTGAGGTCAGGACCACAGTATCTCTGTAGAGAGAGGACAGGATTTGTGGAACGTCGGACCTGGGTCTCGATCGTTGATAGGTTTCTGTGAATGGGGACCACAGAGAGGGCTTCCCAGAAGGGGAATAAGAAAAGCACAAGTCAAGGAGGACAAGAAGTGGCTTAGAGGGACGTTGCTCGGCTGTCCCCAGCTGCATTCCAGACAGCATGGTGAACGCTGGCCTTCAGATGGAGGAGAATAAATCATGTCAGGTTGGGAGATCACACTTCTTGAAAAGCACTGACGAAAGGGCAGTAGTTCCCATGTTCACTCCTGCAAGAGGACAATACCGGGGTGCCTGATTGGGAACAGCTGAAGCCAGAGTAGGGGGAGCCCGGGGCGGAGGGTGGAGGCTGCTTCCCTCTCTCCCCTGACCCAGGTGTGCAGCCACTGACCTGAGAAGTGGCAAATCACAAGCCTCCCTCCCTCCCTCGGCCCACTGTCCACGGGTCCTCCGCGGGGACTGCCGTTTGCGAGGCTGTCTGTAGCCTCCCGAGCCCACCCGAGCCCGTCCCCTCCCTCAGGGCACAACGAGAAGTCCGAGAACGCAGTGGAGGCCGGAAGCTGCTGTGCCACGTGCAAGGAGTTTCACCAGATGAAGCAGACGGTGCTGCAGCTGAAGCAGAAGGTACGTGCCCGTCGTGTTCGAGCCGGGCCCCGCAGGACGAGGACTTGGCGGAGAGGAAAGGGAAGAACGGTGAGAAACAGTAAGACAACAAGTTGTCGCCCACGATCTCCGTGAACGTTCACGAAGGTCGCTGCCAGCTGGGTTGGGACTGAGACTTTGCTCCGACCGCCCACCCTCGGAGCTGCCGTGCAAAGAGCAACATGCTCATGAAGGCAAGAAAGCGATCAATTAGGTAACTGCGAAGCGGGGCTTGAGGTGGGGGGGCGCGTGGCAGAGGTGTAAGGAGGTTGAGCTAGGACTGTTTGAAACCCTGGGTAAAATCAACGTCCAGACACATGGTCCTGGGGCAGACTTACGCAGTTGTTTCATCTAACCTTCTGGTTAGGTTTTACAACGAGAACACCCTGTCTATAAACATCCATAAGCGGACGGTGAATTTCCGTAGCGGCTCTTTTTCACATTGGAAAGCCGCCATTTGGGTGCCTCGTGTCAACAAGAATGAGGGCTGAGTCACTTTCTAAAAGGCTCCCACACATGCCACAGAGACTATCAGATTTCTGGTAACATTGTTATGCTGTGAGTAATGCCCCCGTGATGAATCTGGGGACCTGATTTCTTGAGCAACTGTCCTGGCCCCAGCTCGATGGTATTTATGACCCCTCAGTCCTCCAAAATCACACTTGGGCTGAGAATCGTAGGGGCTTGTTTAATTGCTTCTGCCCGAGGCTCTTAGCACATCAAGGAGGTGTATGTAATCTGTTTAACTTTGTTACGCCAAAGGGCAAAGGGTAAGCATAAGACAATATGGCTTTTCCATGTTCCACAAACATACACGCAGCCCTTAGTGAGAACCACAGCTACCAGTGAAATAAGCCGATGGATAGGCAGAGAAGGGCAATGGCTTCGCTGGTCTTTCGTTACGTTGTTGGCGAAGATCTGTCCATGTATCCTGTACACGATCCGAAGTAGTCTGTGATCCAGTAATAGAACGGGTGGAACACTCTGTAAACACATCCCACACATCCCCTCGGTTAAACTTGGATTGATGTCACCATTTATTGAGCAAATTCAAAAACGGGTCCAGGGAAGAAGTAAGTTCACATTTCATACCAGAGGATTAGGGCTCGGCGGAGGCAGTTGCTCAGTATCTTAAGACCTAAGGCAGCTCTCTGCGTCCTCTCCTGGACAGTTGAAAATCTGGGAGCTATAGGGAAGCTTTTTCCAGCCTGGAGGATCGTCAGAATAGTGCAGTGCCACTAAATCCCACAGGTTGTTGGGAAACGCAGTTGCTAATCAGTATCTGGCTTTCGTGTCCTAGTACCCACCACCTTGAAAGACTGCTGTAGAGCTCCAAACAATCCAGTAGCAAGTACTTCTTAGTACTCCAGTAACTCATGTAGTGACTTGCACGCACTTAGTACTCCAGTAACTCTCACGTACTTAGTACTCATGCAGTAACTCACACACTTAGTACTCGAGTAACTCTGAGGTTAAGTCTCACGTAGTTAATACTCCAGAAATGAGTATGCTGTAACTCTCACACACTTAGTACTCCAGTAACTCATGCAATAACTCAGACTGAAATTGGTCCACCTCATACTGAATTCTGCAAACGCATCGTTGCAAGTCTGAGCTAATGCTGGCATTTAAAGAACATCATGAGGAGCAACTCATTTCTAAAGTCATCTGTAAGCATGTGTTGCATTCTGTAGTTGATAAAGCAGTCTTACATCCAGGATCTCATTTAATTCCCAGCGTGACGCTGTAAGAAAGATACAGGTATCCTCAGAGAAGTCAAGTCACTGCCCAAGAGGCAGGCCACGCTTCTGCCCCTGTGCAGGGGACAGGATTGTCTATTGGATTTTAACTTCATCTCACTAGGACAGATGCCCTCTGTTCTTTTGGAAAGAATGTAGGGCATCTACCCAAATACACTTTGGCCAAGAAATAGGTACTGGGTGTCCTGGACCATGGCCAACCCCATGGTAGAACATGGTAGGCAGACATGCTGAATTGTGCTGTGAGTATAGTCAGTAAAATGGGGAACTCAACAGTTCCAGAACCCCCATGGGTTCCTTGGTGGGTAAATTGTAAGAAAAAGAAAGGTAGAGCAGTGACCTGCAGATTAAAAGAAATTTTAAAGACCTGTTATTTTTGTAGAATGACCAGGACTAAACCAGAGTGTGTGGGCATGCATAGTTAGGTTATTTTTAACTTATTTTTAAAACACAGGAAGTCATTAAAATCAGGATAGCGGTTACTTTTGGCAGGGGGAAGGGTACAGGAAGGATGAGACTGTGATTGGGTCAGAGAGCATGGAGGGTGACTTCTGGTGAGTGGCTGAGTTCCGTCTTTTGACTTAGGTTTCATTAAAAAGATACATGCCTTATACTCATTTGCTAGGATATACATTTGTGGGGTTTCCAGATTCTGTGCTTTCATTTTCTGATAACATTTTTTTAATTGTATGCAGATGACTCTTTGGGGGTGGGGGGCAGTGATTTGGCTAGAAAGAGAGATTTGGGAATAAGTAAAATACCCGTCATTTCCTTCGTAAAGAGGGCACCAGGCCTGTCAGTGGGGGGAAGTCTGAGGCAAGCAGCCAGTTTCCAGAAAGCCCCTTGGGCTCCTGCTGCATGGACTGTTTGATTGGGGGGCGTGACTGCAGAGCATGACTGATGACTCAGGAAGGGTTTATTGAGCATCTACTATGCCTTCAGGTAGATTGGGAGATGAGGGAATACGGGCAGTGCGGAATCAAGCCCTGCCTTCATCAGCTGTCTTATCTGGGCAGTCAGGCCAGCAGTGAGCCCACCAACAGCTGCCACGTGGCGGGGAGCAGACAGAGCCTCCAAAGTTAGAGGTCAGTGCAGGTTCGGAGGCCTGCCCACACCTGCATCCCGCCGTCTGCCTTTGTGCCTTCTAGCACCGCTGTTAGGGCCAGGCAAATAAATGGCTCCTCAGTAGTTTGTGACCTCCTCTGCTACCTTGATTGAGCTGCTCTGCAGAAGGGCCCTTCTCAGGACACGGGGAAGCCTGAGCCATACTGCAGTGACTGGAGTCAGTGGAGCGTCGAGGGAGGCAGCTTGCTGTGGTGTCAGGAACACAGATTCCAGATCCACATAAGCTAAGTTTACATCCTAGCCCCGCTACCTGCTGGATATATGACCCTAGGGAAGTGACTTAACGTCTCTGTGCCTCCCCTGGATTAAAAGGGGAGGACAATATTATTTTTGTTTTCGTGACCATCAAATGAATTAACATTTATAAAGGACTTGAGACAGTGTTTGCTACTTAGAGCTTTGTAAATGCTTACCAATCAACATTTTTTTAACGATTTATTTGAGGGACGCCTGGGTAGCTCAGTTGACAGCTGCCTTCAGTTCAGGTCATGATCCCAGGGTCCTGGGATCGAGCCCCACATTGGGCTTCCTGCTCAGCGAGGAGCCTGCTTCTCCCTCTGCCTCCTGCTCCCCCTGGCTGTGTTTGCTCACGTGCTCGCTCGCTTTCTCTCTCTCCCCCATCTCTCTCTCTGACAAATAAATAAATAAAATATTTAAAAGTAAATAAATATTTACTTGAGAGCGTGAGCTTGGGGGGAGGGGCAGAGGGAGAGAACCTCAAGCGGACACCCCACTGAGCACAGAGCCTCGTGCAGGGCCCAGTCTCATGACCCTGAGATCACGACCTGAGCTGAAACCAAGAGTTGGAGGCTTAACTGACTGAGCCCCTCAAGAGCCCCTAAATAACATTAATTATGTGGATAATGTTAATTATTTGTGCTTACGAAGTGCTTCACAGCAGCACCTGCCTGATTCTTACCAACAACTCTATGAAGTAGATGCTTTACTACGAAGGTTAATATGAGATAATGATATTCATGATTCCGGCAACTGGAGTCCAGGCTAATGTAGACTCTTCCTATATGACTATGACCTTTGCAAACACCTGCATCCCACCAGCTCACCCTCTGCTGTGTTTGTGCAGCAAAGTCAAGCCAAGGACCCTGAACATCTGCTTCCAAAACACTAGCGCCTTGACTTTCCACGCATCCTGCTGATGCATTGCATCGGGGAACTGAAGGGAACCAGGCTGTAACCACCCAGCAGGAGGTCAGACGGGAAGCGGAGACATTTACCTCATGGCTTTTACTGGGGAGCAAAGGGAGCTGATCCCATCCTCCAGGCTTGAACTCTCAGATCTAAAGACGGGTGTGGGGCATCAGAGCATTCCAAGTCTAGGGAGGAGCTCTGCCACACTATTTCTCCTGGAATCTCTTGCTCTCTGTGCACAGGGTTTCCAAGCAGGGCCTCCTCCAGGGGACAGATGTAACATGTTCCAGAAAATCTCAGATACTTGGTTTCTATGGGCCTCCAGGATCCAGAGTAAGCCTTCTGGAGAGGTTAGCTCTGATCCCATAAATGTGCCTTTCTCTCCCTGACTTTGCCCCGCCAAATTAGCTTCCTGGAAGACAGAGACTAGAACTACCATTTATCAAGCCACTTACTATGTTCCAGGTCCTGTGCTGGGCACCTAACCTACATTTCCCATTAAGTCCCCACAGCCCTAAAGGTGGGTGGTGAAGTTCCCTTTATTGGTGACAAACTGTAGGTTTGTAGCATTTGGTTCTCCCAGAAGGTCTCATGGATTCACACAGCTTACCTGACCTCCAGGACTGTGAAGGTCATCTGTCTGGGTGGCCCCTCTGGCTTCCCCTAGAGTGAGCTGCTTGTGACCCAGGAGGGAAAGCGAAGAGGAAGCCGCCATGATACGTTTTATGCCCCCATTTCAGAAGTTACCCACCATCACTTCTGCCATTTTCCAGTTATTGGAGGTGAGTCTCTAAGTACAGCCCACCCTCAGAGGGCAGAAGTTAGGCACCACCTTTTTGAAGGTAGGAGTGTCCAAAACTTTGCGGACCTGTTTTTCCATCATGGGCACTGTTGGCCACTCGTTCCCAAACACCTGAGTGTGTAGGTGAACTGCAGGCCACCTTCTCGGTCCTGGACCCCAAGGCTGAGGGGCCGTGTCTTGATCACCATTGTCACCTTATAACCAAGCACAGGGCCTGGCACATAGTAGGTACTAAATAAAGTAATTAGCACACTGAATATCTGAAACAGGTCAATTCTATCAGTTTGGTAATAATGAGTCAGTGATGATATCTAGACTATCTGGAGCTTGTCCAGGTTTATCCACTAATCAGCCAAGGGATCTCCCTCAAGTCATGTTCACTGGAAGGCCTCTGGATTTGGAAGCAGATCCCTAGACCCCTTTGAGGATGGAGGGGCACGACCACCAGAAGGACTGGCAGCCCCTGCAAACACACAGATGCAACCGTCTTCCTGGCCTGGAGCCATCACTTCCTGACCAGAGATCCTCTTCCTTACAGATCGCCCTGCTCCCCAGCAGCACTGCCGACCTGGGCAAGTACATCACCGGCAACAAAGTGCTGGCCTCAAACGCCTACCTCCCGGGACCTCCTGGGCTGCCTGGGGGCCAGGGCCCTCCTGGTGAGTGGGGAGGAAGACAGAGGAGGGTGATGGAGCCACCAACCACGGCCTTCCGGAAGCCACCATGGGTGGGGGCCGGCCCGGGTTCAGACTGTGAGGGTGAGGGCAGCGGCGGAAGTCGGGGGAGCTCCCACCCCCCCTGTCACGAGAATCCTGGGGGAATTGGGTCCTCAAGCCTGAGAAACCCTCATAACCGGGAGAAATTGAGAAGAAGAAGGTCATTGTCCTGGGCTTGGGTAAGATTCTTAGAGATAATTTTCAGTTACAGAGAAACAAAATCAAGACTTATTTTTGAGTGTTAATGTGCAAAAATAGAATTGGGTGAGGAACCCACAGGGGCACGTCAGCCAGCCGTAACCCCCCATGGCCATCCCCGTCCCTGCTATTCCTCAGCCTTTCTTCGTCCTTCCCCTATTTGTGAACACACTCACATCTGTTTCTTTATATGTATACGTGTGTGCGTGCGTGTGTGTGTGTGTATGCCTCCATATATTTTTCTTCAGTCAACTTTACTGAGATACAATTATACACAGTAACACATACTGCTCTAATCAGTTCAACAAGTTCTGAGGAAAATATACATCCCTCATCAGGCGCTTACTTACCACTACCCTACATCAAGATACAGAGTATTTTCATCACCCCAAAAAGTTCTTTTGAGCCCCTTTGCAATCTAACCCCCTGTCCCCAACTGTAGGCAACCACTGACCTGCTTTCTATCACTAGTTTTGTCTGTTTTAGAACTTCAGAGCACTGGAATTTCATCACGGGTGTGCTGCGCACCTTCTCGCATATAGCATTTTGCTTTAGGGATCTACCCTCATCACTTGAAGACAATCCCAAATGTCCCATCGTTCCATCAGGAAGTACACAATGAGAACTTTATTTTTCTTTTTAACAAATATTTGGGAGGGTTAGATTTCATTTTTACAAGAAAAAGCATAAGAGTACAAGCAGGGGGGTATGACAGGGAGAGGAAGAAACAGACTCCCTGCTGAGCAGGGACCCCCCCCCCCCCCAATATGGGACTCGATCCCAGGACCCTGGGATCATGACCTGAGCTGAAGGCAGACACTCAGCTGACTGAGCCACCCAGGCACTCTACAATGAGAACTTTAAAAAATAGTTACATGATGTTTTCTATTTTATTAGGAGTCCCTCCACAGATAAGATAGATCAACAAAATCTTATCCACACCAATAAAGGAAATGATGTCAGTGTTAGCAGATGAGTCTAAAACACAGAGTGCCTTTTCCCTGATTGTCATTGCCTAGTAGTGTGCTAGATGTTATGAGTGACCTCCTGGCCTTCCAGTAAGACAAGAAACAAAGAGCAAAAGCAAATAGAAGAAAACAGTATCTGCTTGCCCCTAAGTGAGTAAAAAGGTGCTCCCTGCTGCGGGAGCTTACAGAAGGGAGAGACAACAGTGATGGTCTGCAGTGATCCCAGGACCTGGATTTGACCTGGACATGGAAGAGTGGGACGGTTTGTTCAAGCAGGAAGAATATGGACAGATTTGAGACCAAAAGTTCACCAACAACAAAGGCTCCAAATTCTTTCCAGACTATTTATTTCTTCTCTTTTTCACTTATATCTTAATCTCCTTTCTGCCAAACACAGGTGCCCTGGGTCTCAGTCTATACAGGAAACAAGGACTGGTACAGGACCTTGGTTTATCCTCTTGCTCATTCCCTTGGCCTGAGGTCCTCTGGGACAGGTGGAGTTTTCTCCAGACCCTCCCATAGGCAGCCTCTTGCTGTTCCTACGAAGATGTGGGTTTCCTTGCAGATTGATCCCAACTCGGAGTTCCCACCCTTCTCTAAAAGTGTGTTCTTGCTCTGCTTCCCGAGAGGAAGTTCATCTCCAGGCCAGTCTACAAATCACTCCAACAAGGACAGATGAAGGAGAAACAAGGGTGCCATTGGCTGGCTGTCTTCTTAATGAACAACTTGCTAGCTTTCCTTTCCAATTCTGCCGTCTGGTTTCTAACAGTTTGAGCTGTCCAGGGTCCTTGATGCAGCAGGGAGTAACAGAGGACTAACTTCAGCAATGGACTGTGCCCTTCCTTACTTTGTCCTCCAAACCTTTCTTTCTCTCTCCTTACTTCCAGCATCAGTTTGCGATGTCCTCCATTGAGCTGTACTGGGGCAGCCAGAGACATAAATCAGGTTTCTCTTACCCATAAGTAAAAGTCCAGTCCTAGGACTTATGATGAATCACAGATTGGAGTGTCAGCACGGGAAACCACACCGGGTTGGAATCCTTTGTCTTCGGCGGGGAAGGGGTGGCTGCTGCTCCCCGACCCTCACTGTTATGCATGAGAGGTTGCCATTCGCCCATCCAAACCCCACATCCTAAGGACACTTGACACACAGTGATCTCTGAAGTTCATTGATTGTGTAGATAAAGGCAAAACGTTACCTCTGACCTGTCCTTGTGCTACTGTAGGTGAAGTATTTTTTAGTTATAGGAGGAATCTGGTCCCCTTCCCAGATACACTTTTTCAGGCTGTGCCTGGAACCAGGTTGAGAGTCAGGGTGTGAAACATGTTTGGAGAGAACACTGACTGCCTTTAACTTTGGCCTAATTATGCTGTGAGCTAGAAGAAGACTTCCCAAAATATGAAAAATCGCAAGTCTTTGTTTCTTAGATTTGATTTGTTCTGTTTTCCGATGCCTGAAGATTATTGCATCCAGTCGCTGTGTTTTGTCACTAGTAGGAGCTAGCTAGGGATTTTCAACGAGTATGACTGTATGCATTTGAAACAGACATTGCTGGTGAACGATTCTAGCACAGCAATCAGCCCACCGTCTTCACTGTGCTCACTTGATGTGAAACGTTTCCTAAAGAGCCTATATGCACTTGGGACTCTGCAAGTGTGTGGACAATTAGGACATAGTCCACACCCTCACAGAGTCAATAGGTGAAAACAGGTTAAAACTCACGTTGTTCCATATGCAAAAGAATGAAGTTGGACCCTTCTCTTGAACCATATACAAAAATTTACTCAAAATATACTGAAGATCTAAATGTAAGAACTGAAACTATAGAATTGCTAGAAGAAAGCATAGGAGAAAAGCCTCATGGTGTTGGATTTGGCAAAGATTTCTCGGGTACGACACCAACGTACAGGTGACAAAAGCAAAAATAGACAAGGGGACTACATCAGACTTAAAAACTGTGCAACAAACAATACAATTAGCAGAGTGAAAGACATTCTACAGAGGGGAGAAAATATTTGCAAATCATTTATCTGATAAGGGGTTAATATCCAGAATAGGAAAAAAAAAAACTACAACTCCACAATAAAAAATAACCTCAATATAAAAATAAGCAAAGAAAAGGTGCCTGGGTGGCTCCGTCATTAAGCGTCTACCTTTGGCTCAGGTCATGAGTCCAAGGGTCCTGGGATTGAGCCCCACATCAGGTTCCCTGCTCGATGCGAAGCCTGCTTCTCCCTCTCTCACTCCCCCTGCTTGTGTTCCTTCTCTTGCTGTGTCTCTCTGTCAAATAAATAAATAAAATCTTAAAAAAAAAAAAAGCAAATGACTTGAATAAACATTTCTCCAGAGATGATATACAAATGGCCAACAAACACATGAAAAGACGCTCAATATCACTCGTCATAGAGAGATGCAAACCCAGCAAGGCATCACTTCACATCCGTCAGGAGAACCACTGTCAAGAAAAGAACAGAACAGGTGTTGGTGGGGATGTAGAGAAAAGGGACCCCTTGCACCATGCTAGTGGGAATGTGAACTGGTGTAGCCACTACAGAAAACAGGGTAGAGGTTCCTCAAAAAATTACAAGTGATACTAATATGACCCAGCATCCTACACGTGGGTATAATATCCAAAAGAATCAAAAGCAGGATTTCGAAGAGACGTTTGCATACTGTATGCCAAGCTACCTGCGTCCAGCAAAGGATTAGTGGTAAACCAAAGGTGGTATATACAGCAGGGGAATGTCATTCAGCCTAAAAAAGGAAGGAAACCCCTGTTGCACACTGTAAACATGGATTATCTTTGAGGACGTTCTGCTAAGTGAAATGAGCCAGTCGCAAGAGACAAATCCCATAGGATTCTACTAATAAGTCATCGAAGAACTCAGGTTCATAGAGACAGGAAGTAGAATGGTGGTTGCCAGCGGCTGGGGGAAGGGAGATGAGGACTTGTTGTTCAGTAGGTACAGAGTTTTAGCTTTGCAGGATGAAAAGGTTCCAGAGATCTGTTGCACAGCAAGGTCAATGTCCTTAACTCTACTAACCTGTCCATCTTAAAGTAGTTAAAATAACCACCTCTATGTATCATTTACTACAATGAAGAAAAGTACTCTCCTAGCGCTCACCCCCCTTCCCCCCGCCCCCTGCCCCCAGCTGACATTCAGGGCCTAAGGCAGAGGCGAATGTCCTGAGGTCTGCACCCAGGTGCTGCCCCATAACTGAACAGCCACGCCAGAGAGACTGTTTCCAACTCTCCGTGTGCGTAGGTGAAGGTAGGTGAGGCCTGTAGGTCAGTTCCCCGTCAGCCTCCATGATCACTATGGACACGTGTCGGCCCTCAGACAGCCACAAAAGCAGCCCTACAGCTTGATCCTAAACTCCAAATACCCCCAGTGCTCTGTCACGTTAGGCCTCAGAAAAGAAATAAAAACAAAACCCACAATGTCTACAGGGACCTAGCAGGTGACACAAGTGAAGAAAGGGGCAGCCTGTGAGCAGCAGGGAATAACCAAACCATTGTGCCAATGGCAAAATAGTGGTCCAGGCTTTAGTTCTTCCCGTCTTCAAACAGATGCCAGAAATCCAGATTTCTGTAGGAAATCTCCCAGTTTTTAGATGTCAGGAAATTCAGAGAACAACGGTACCCATAAACAAATACATAAACCTGTATGGAGTGTGTGTGTTGTGTATACGTGTGTATGGATACAGTTATATACATCTATATTTGATGTACAGCTAATGTATATATTCATATCTGATATATAAACAGAGACGTTGTATAGTATTGTGGTACACAATGAAGTAAGCTGTTAATTCTCTTACAGAGAAGGGATGTCGAGATGTTTTTGGAGAAATGTGGTCTACAACAATTATATAAGGATGGAGAATTCTGATCATGTTAAGTTTAAAATGCCTATAGGGTGTCTTAGAGACGTCAGAAGGCAGATGGCAGATTGCAAGGAGAAATGGCTGCAAAGGGCTCCCCAACACCCTGGGCAGCCAGAGCCCCTGTCCTCAGGGATGTAGATCTAACAAGCTCTTCTTTGATTACAGGTTCACCGGGACCAAAGGGAAGCCCGGGCTTCCCCGGTGTCCCAGGACCTCCCGGGCAGCCTGGCCCACGGGGCTCGATGGGACCCATGGGACCATCTCCTGATCTGTCCCACATTAAGCAAGGCCGGAGGGGCCCCGTGGTCAGTATTTTATCAGAGATCCACTTACTATTGCTGGGGACAACACGTTCTTGTCCCATGCGTTTTCCTTCTATTGAACTAGATCCCTTTGTCTTGCAGGGTCCGCCAGGTGCACCAGGAAGAGACGGCTCTAAGGTCAGTCTTCCGAGTGGTCCTTACAGCCCAAGTTTTCCCAGTTGCAATCTACTGGGCGGGCATCAAGTAAAGCCCGAGCACTGTTTCCTCTCCCCAGTTCGCACGTTGCAAAATTGGGACGCTCTTTTTACTCCAAGCTAGAAAGAAAATCTAAGATGCAAACAACTGTAATAAAAAAAGAAAAACCCAAAAACCACCCCTATGAGTGAGCACCCCTATACATTTTACACAAGCCCCGTGCAGCAGGCGTCTTTCTCTTGGGCTGGTGCTCCTCGGCAGGGCTGTGTGGTGTGTCCCCACTCCTTTGACATGTTTACATCAAGAACAGGAAAAGCTCCCGTCTCTGCAAGTGGGTGCTTTCAGTTCCTGGGCTGCCCACGTCTCACCCCACGAATAAGTCAGTGTACATCACTCTAGAAAGTTGGTGAGATATTGCACACGTTTCCTGGAAATACAAGCATTCCTCTTGTCAGGTCTGTTTTGAAAATCCACAGCCCCAGGGGAAATCAGAATGAGAGACACTTGACCCCAACAGTTCTGTTCAAACAAAGGGTCCCTTGAGTCCAGCTTCAAGCTTCCATTTGTTTCTGATAGAAAATACTTGTTTATGTAAGGCAGTGGTGATGGCGGGGATCTCCATGGAGCCTGGGGGAGGCATCCCACGAAGTCCACAAAGCTAATGTGACCTTTCTGCTTGCAGGGAGAGAGAGGAGCTCCTGGACCCAGAGGGTCGCCAGTGAGTAGCACGATCTGCCCCCCTCCCTCCGGGTAATGTCCTCAAGGATGTAGCTCTGATGAGCCTGTTGAGTTGGCCAACAGCCAGCCCCTTCCAGCCAGTACTCAGCCTACCCAAGGGGAACTTAGGGGTGAGGAGGAGAATCTCGGAGGACTTTAAGAGCTGGTTGGGATTTTTTTTTTTAATTTGTTTTCTGGGTTTTTTCTTTTTCTTTTAACATGGCTAATCTTTATGTGGAAGATCTTCCCTTAAGATTTAAAAAAAATATATATATATACACTATAAGTCTACTTCCGAGTATGTCCTAAAACATCAGACGGGGCTCTCCTAACTCTGAACACTTACGAGTTTAGCCACCACTGCAACTCGAGCAGATCCGATGACCAGCTCTTCCCAAAAAAACCACAGAGACCTGCACAGCTGCTTGGGCCCATTGAGAATAAATTGGCTTGGATAATTGTTGGTGTCTGGGAGATTAAAAAAGGAATCTTAGTAGTAACCAAAGCATAGGAAATTCAAGCAACTCCATTGCTTTTGAAAGGATTGGTGTCCTTTCTGAAGACAGACAGCCTCGGCTTAGATGTAGGCAGTCTGGGCTCTCACCCAGCCCTTCCACAGATGAGCCATCAGATCCTGGCCATCCTTAGCACCCCTGGGCATCTCTCTGTCCACTCACCTGTGCCATGGCAAGTGTAATCTGAGCTTCCACCCTTGAAAGGAGCATCAGTTACTATCAAAACGCTGTCTACCTGTAAGCGCTTTACAGATGGAGTCGCTGTTTCAAAGGTGGTAGCTACAGCATCAGAGGCCACAGGCAATAAAGATGTTTACTACAAGCCACTAACAAGCCCTGACCTTGCCCGTTCATGCGTTATTTTGACGTGCCCTGCACGGTGCTACGTAGAAGTCAAAGGTTAACAAATACCATACAATGATAAAAAAATGTTCAATCCATAGAAAAATTAGGAAGGCCTTACACCTTTCCTGGTCAATGGGGAATGGATGTCTTTACAACATACTCTCAACTGCATTCAGGTCACAGTTATAGTCAATGATCTTTAAAAACATCTTAGTTGTTTCCTTTTTTAAAAGATAACATTTAGAGCATTTATGATGCTCTAAGCCCTTTATTTATTAACTCATTTAAATCCTCACTAATGAAACCCTATGATATTAAGATTATTATTATCTCCATTTTACAGATAGGGAGATGGAAACCCAAAGAAACTGAGTAACTTGCCCAAGACTAGCTAGTAAGCAACAGAGCTGAGATTCAGACCCAAAAGAATCCCAACCTCTTTTTTTTTAATGACCCCGCTTATTGATTTGACAGAGAGAGAGACAGGGAGAGAAGGAACACAAGCAGGGGGAGTGGGAGAGAGGGAGAAGCAGGCTTCCTGTTGAGCAGGGAGCCCAATGCGGACTTGATCTCAGAACCCTGGGATCATGACCTGAGCTAAAGGCAGACGCTTAACAACTGAGCCACCCAGGCAAACCCGGAATCCCCACATCTGTGTTACTCTGTGTTACCCATTTTCTTTGGAAAGTAACGTAGGAAGGTTCTTCTCATATTCTTTAATTCTACCAGATTTGATGTAGCTGAGAATTAAGAGGGAGGAGATAGACTGTGTCACCGCAGCTCATACGGGAGGTGAAGGAATTAGGAGGTGATCTTAAGAACGCCCCCCCCACCCCACCTTGCTACTATAGTAGTTATGTTTACTCCATTTGGGACACAGAGTTGTCAACGAAGTAGTTACCATTCAGGCGGGGGAGGAATAGCAAATCATGACGCCCACAGAAACCGTGGCTTGGCACAGGATTGAGTCTGTGGTCTTCTGGCTTTGATTCCTCTCCTGTGCGCAGGGACCCCCTGGGTCTTTCGACTTCCTGCTACTTATGCTGGCTGACATCCGCAATGACATCGCCGAGCTGCAGGAGAAGGTGTTTGGGCACCGGACACACTCGTCAGCGGAGGAGTTCCCTGTACCTCAGGAATTTTCCAGCTACCCGGAAACCATGGACTTTGGCTCTGGAGACGAGTACCCAAAAAGAACCGAGATGAGGGACTTGGAACCCACCAGAGACTTTTATCCTTAGCATGTCCCGTTATCGTCATGCCAAAGGAGGGGAAAAGTGTTTTTCACCTGCAGTTAAATCCTATACAAAAAAAGAAAAAGAAAAAAAAACAAAAAAACCCACTGGAGACCTAAAAAGATACAACTTTAATTACTTTAACTCTTTTCCTGCCTTCTCCCTCCTGCTCTTCTTCCGAACACTGTGTTCAGAGTCCCCTGCCAGACACGTGAAGGAGTAAGTCATTAATTTTACATGCTTCCCTCCACAGTCATCTTGGGGGGTGTGGGGGGGCAGGGAGGGAGACACAGGAACTTTCCTTTTACTTCCTTCTTGTTCATGAATTTCTGAATTTCTGAGTTACATACTCTCACAGTGTCTTAAAGTTTGGCAAAATATCCAAAGGGAAAAGTGGCAAGGTGAGCTCTGAGAACATATGAGGTTACTTATTAAAAAAAAAAAAAGGTATGTGTCCAAAACAGAGTATTACTCAGTATCAAAATTAACTTTCTTTAATTAAAAGGGGAAAACAACACTGTATATTTACCTTGGTATATAATTCTTTTTCCTTGTCAAACTAATATATTTTTAAATATTCTATCCTCTTGTCCAACCTTGTTTCCCAATTTTGATTAAAGGAAGGAGGGAAATAAGAAGGAGCAGAGATTAGAGAAGATGGAGGGAAACTGAAATCTTATATTTCTTGTCCTGTAAGTTACCACATTCTAAATTCAAAAATGACACTTAAGGGTTTATGCCACGCATCTCTGTACGTTTGTTCCTCTTGCTGTAGGAGTAAATCCTCTTCTCAAAACAAAGTAAATGAATGAAGCACCTGGATTCCCATTAAAATAATGGGCTCCTGGTTTGCCAAGACGTTTTAAAGCTACGTGATCAAACGAGTGGGCTTGCTCAGTAAGTCATGGATCGTTACATGAGAGTGGCTGACCCTTAGGGAACCCCACTGAATGGCCCGCCTCTGACTGGGTGCCCAGGAGGGACCATTACGCCACGATCCTGGTTATATCAACATGCACTGGAGCTGGAGGCTGGAAGGAGGTTGTCTGCTTGGGTCTTCGGAGAGGGAGAAGGAGAGCCTCGAGCAGGATCCCCACAAAATCCGCAGAGGCAAGTCTGTTTGCTCTCCTTGGGAATTGGAACCCCTTGTCTGGGGCCAGCGAAGCTCGCCAACGCAGAGAGTAACACACTATTGGAAGTTCTCTTGGATGCCGAGGGAAATAACAATGTTTCTTGTTTGGCAGAAGTTTCCTTCCCACTCTTCCCATTTTTCCTTATTTTTCCATCATTTTATCCAAGTTCTAGTTCTCACAGGCCTTCTCCTTGATCCCCTTCCTCAGCAAAAGTGGGGAGTGGCTGGGAAAGGGGAGTATTCTCGAAGCTGCCACTGAGTCTGTGGCCACCCATACACCTCTGAGTCCCAGATAGAGACATGCTTCAGAAAAGACTTCCTCGGGTTCCTTAGAAAACAGGAACAAGAGTGAACCATGAAGACACCAGCAGAAGCATCTGCTCCTTTGGAACACGACCAGGGAAACTCTTGGTTTTGAAGGGGAGCGCACAGTTGTCCTCCAGGAAGCTGGCATCTGCCACCCAGAAATGCAGCTACCTGATCGGGGGCCCGTCCCCCCTCTATTGAGCCTCAAAGACGGTCACGGGCACACTCGCGCCTGCTCGTGGTGGGGTTCCTCTTCCCTGCTATTTCTCCCCATATTTCTGGGAGGTGTTTGTTTCCTTCTCTTTTTCCTTTTTGCCCATCACTTCGCTCTCCTGCTGGGAAAGCTTGTCTAAGAGAGCGCTGTTGGCGTGTGGGAGACTGCCACCTTGCAATAGTCTCTCTCTCCGGAAAGCCAGGAAGGGCTTCCGTTTGCGAGGGCCCCGTGACACCGGCCTGCCTTTCCTTGTCGCCATCAAGGTACTAGCCCTGACTCCAGTCGGTCGGCCGCTGGCTGGGCCTTTCGCGGACCTTTGGCCCCGCTGTCTCTTCCTCATACAAAATCCCCAGTGGCCAGCCCACCAGAAAGTCACAGCGACAAGCAAACACCTTCTCAGTGCTCTTTTTCTAGCATTTTCCCTCCCCCTGCAGTCTCTCCAGAGTCCGATCATCACAACCGAGGGTCTCGCCACCCCCAGGGCTCATGGAGAGCTGAGCTAAGCAGCTGATGATTCCCATCTGGAACGCATTTAACGTTGCCTGTTTGCAGAACACAATATTTAAAGGGTGTGGATGGATGAGTGCTAAAGCAAAATTATTTACAGGCCTTATGAAAAATGATTAGATCCGTCTTTGATTTTTTTTCTTTAATGAGGATTTGTGTTTAGAAATATAAACTCCTTTATTGTCGGATGCTCCTAAAATGCATCAAACGGCATGTTTGGCCAGAGGTGAGGATAATATATTTAAAAAGGAACTGAAGGAAATAATCTCTGGAATTCGTGAGCCTACTCTAGATCATAATCTCCAGTAAAACCCAATAACCTGTGTTGTATAATTTCAGTCTGCGAGATGAGGGCAGATTATAATTTTCGTCCTCAGATCTTCAGAACTTGGACGATGAATCAGGACCAAATCAGTACTCTGTATGCCCAAATTATACTTTTCAAAGAGAAAAACATAATCACTGTTAATCCTAATGTATCTTTAGGTTATGGGTAGAAAGTCAAACCTCACTGTTTGAACAGGGCTTCTCAAAACCTAATGGGGGGTAAAATTCGCTACTGCTTTGCTAAGCCACTCCCATCCCCATGTTCGATCGGGGGAAAAGGATCTTTGTAGAACTGTTGACTCTCATTTTGTGCACCCTGATACCTAGAATTTAGAATAGGGACCTAATCGTTGCTTTTGTTTTTGGAAAGCCATGGCAATAAAAATTTGCTGTTGAAAATAGTGCAAGGAGGGAATATATTTTAGTTTAGGAAAATCCTCCCTCCCTCCCCAATCCCGAAAGGAGAAATTATAAGCTTTCCTGTGCCAAAGAGCGTGGGGGTACAAAGGCAATGCTGTCTTCTCTGTCCTGTCTTAATTCCAGCCCCCACCACCGAGTGAACTGATCGACTGAGCTCATTTCTGCTGTATAAACTGAGACGGGTGGGCCCAGAGCCAACCCAGATAAATGTAACAAATGCACACCGGCATGGGGGCAGGAGTATTACCCCACCAAAGACCAGGTGAAGGGCACCCCGGTTCTGGTCATGCTCCTTCTCCAGGATTCACAACTACTGTTTGCCCTGTGATGGCTTTTCCCAGGCAGGCAGGGGAAGATCATGGCTGTGACTAGGTCCCAGGCTTCTCCTTGCACCAAGAGCAAGGCCCTCATCATGCTTTGGGTATCACGGTCCCTTCCCTGCTCCCCCAAGGCCGGCCTGTCACAGAGAGACAGCAGCCTCATTGTGCAACCTTAACATCTCTCCGATAACCTTCCTGAAAAGGAAATTCATTTATGGGAATCCAAGCCAAACAGCTAATAGAACAGAGCCATCTCAAGTTATTAGTAACAAATTCAGGGAAATAGATGAAGTTTTTCCTGGCACGGTCAGCATGTGTGTTTCCCAACAAATCAAAAAATAATTTTCCATTTGAAGGAAAAAAAAAAACCCATGCCTGTAATTGTTAAAGCATAAAATCTTGGACTTCACAGGCTCCTTCAAAAAATATTACTGCTTTAGGGAAAGCATAGAAGACCGACCCTTCAAGACAACCTCCAGAGACCCTCCGCGTTCTTTCCGAGATCCCAAAATCACGTGCCCTGGAGGATTCTGTGTGTGTCACGACCGTTTTTGTTTCGCTTTGACCTGTCCTGTACTTCAGTAGCCGGGTTCATTATTTATAACAGGTCCATATCGCAGTTGAGCTAATATTCAAACAGTTATGGATATGATACTATGAAGTACTTTTGATAAGATTATATATGCTTAATAACAAAGTTATTTTTCTTATGTGGTTGTACTGTGTTTTGTCCCGATTCCTGGGCTTGGGGAACGAGCTGTCTTTTTACAAGATGAGGACAAGGAGATGGAGACATTTCTCCCAAGAGCTGGAATCTTCATTCTGGGGGAGGCCATCTCCTGGGTGGGGTCTGAGTGTGGACCCAACATTCAAGTCTGAGTCAAGGTCTAACGGCCCAGGTTCCACTGATTCTGAGTCTCAAAGGCCCGTGTCTCCAGCTGGGGAGGATCCTCTGCACCCCCCTCCCCATTCCGGGGTGGGCTTTTCCAACCAGAGCTCTCTCTAGGGATCATTGGAGAAGCCGCAGGAGCTCACAGAGGGGAGGCCTGTGAAGGTCCCGTTCCCTCCTCCAGAGTTGCTATGAGCAACTCTGCTTTCAGTTGGTTCTGGATTAGAATTCCACATAAGGTTGCCTTTGAAGGGGAAAAAAAAAATTGACTACCTAAAAAGGAAAGAGAAAGGAAAAGAGTGGGGAGGCTTCCCCTTGAGTTGGTAGCTGAGGTCTCCTTGGTGAAGACAAGAAAAAGGGAATTGTCATCAGTCAGGCCCCAGGGGAGATGGAGTTCCCCCATAAAAAGGGAGGATACCTCCAAGAGATTGCTAGCACTCAGCAGGGTTTAACATCCTGAAGCTGGCCTGGATTTCTACAGCTCCTTTTCCTTCCGCAAATACTTATCAAACGCTGGTAAGCTGTGCCCAGCTGTGCCGGGTGCCCTGCTCCGCAGACATAGCAGGCAGCGAGAAGCCCTAATCCCCATCCTCCTGGGAATCTGGCAACACGGACAAGGATCCTCCCAGGCAAAATCCATTAATCACGAAAACATGCAATTACAAACTGTGATAAGCCCTGGGAAAGAAAAGTGCTTAGAGAGCCAGTCCCAGCCTGAGCCAGCAGGAGCCGCCCCGTGCTCCCAGCCTCCCCGCCAGAGTCAGCGCGGCACCCATACCACAGCCCCCCAAGGCCTCCAGCCCTGGCCAAGAAAAGCCTTACACATCCCATAGGGGAAACAAGCCCAGGGAAATCTGGGAGTCTGCTTCGCCATCCCTGTGGTTGGCTGGTCACCCCATGCGCTCAGGTCTTGTTTTGGGCAGAACTGGGAGCTAGTTGCCTCCCCACACCCGGACCCTGCAAGTTGCGAAGCAGCTCTCAGCGCTTTTGAAATATCGCCACCCCCT